GTGGCCTTCCGGGAAGACGTCAGTGGGTGAGACGAGGCTGATTCTCTCCCTCCTCGGCTGCGAAAATCAAAATGCTTCTGCATCTTCCGCTATTTTGGGGGGAGGCAAATGGCTCGGAAACGGGGCACCCGCCCTCCTTCTTCCCCCAAAGGCGTCTCTGGCATTGCATCCGGCAGCCTTGGCTTCTGGGGGCCTGCAAGGCATCTTTGGGTCTGAGTTTTTATCTTTTATTTTATTTTTTAATAATTGGCTGTTTATGGCTTGTGTGAGTAATTTGTTAATAGTCTTTCTTACTGACAGATTTTTTTTTACTAACAGTTAATAACACTTAAGACGATTCCATTTTTAAACATTTTGATTATTTGCAATGAAGACCTGGGCTCTAGTCTGGTTGCCGCTCAGATAAATAATACATTTGTGGCTTTTTCTTCACAGGAAGCACATTTGTGTCTTGGAACATTAAAATCTTTGCAAAAGAGGTAAAAGGAGGCAGTTTTTTTCAAATTGAAATTCATGACAATGCCTTTTTTCTTTTTTTTACAAGAAAATTCTCCTGAATGGGAAAATACTTTTAACAAGGAAATGGAAGGAACAGATTTAAATCAGCAGAAATTCAAACTCTAAAATCTGGCAATTTTAGTGAAAACATCTTCAAAATGCATAGATTAATTTTAGTAGTTAAGGAAGGAGATCCTCAGAGGGCAGGAATCATTTTTATGGCCTCAGCAAAGATAAATCTAATTATTTACAAAACTGCCTTGCAAATATTTGGGAGGAACAATTTGATCCGCCAGGAGTTGCTGGGCAGCGACTTTAATTCAGTTCTGAATCCACTGTTGGGTTGGAAGAAGATTTTTTTTTCTTTTTAAAGGCCCCCCAGAGACACCACATTCTCCATCCATCCATCCATCCATCCATCCATCCATCCATCCATCCATGAATTTTATTTAATGGAGATATGGAGACCTCTGCATTGAAAAGAGCAAGAATATAAATTTAATTTCCCCACATCACACATGTTCCAGATTCATAGAATATTCCCCAAAACAGACTCGGGAGGCATTTTCACTGAATTAAAATAACACCTTTGATGAGAGATTCCTCAGGAACAAATTGTACTAATGGCAATGAAATTCATGGTCGGTGTTTTGAATTTTGTAAAAAATTATATTCTCTGCATCTGGACGTAGCTAGTGAGCAGATAAAGGCTTCTGAAAAGGTGGCAAACCTTCCAGAAATGGTGGGCGTGCAGCCGGGAGACGCGGCCGAACCCCGAAAGTCACAAAATCTGTAATTCTGCACATCTGGAGGAACCCAGAACGGCCCCTGAGCCAGATGGAGCCACTGCAGGACGGCGTAAAAATCCAGGGAGAAAGCGCTTTGGGGGGCGTTTGGGCAGCGCATCCGGCGCCGTCTCCCCGAAATC